CAGGACACAATTATTTAGGAATTTCTGATGAAATAATTCAGTAACATCATTGTATTGATAAACAACATTTAACTAAATATAAAATTAAAACTAAATAATACAACAGTCAAATAAACATGATAACTTTACAGAAAAGAAGCCTTTTCGTAATAGTGGAATTTTACAGGCAAATTCAATAGGAAAATTTTAATATGGTTTGAATTTTGTGTGTCTTTTTGGTTAAAAAATAGCTATTTATTATAAATTTTTACTAAATGTATGTACATAGTTGGGAAGTATTTTACCATACAAATATTTTAAATGCTAAAATTTATGAATGAGGTGGTGTTTGGTTGTCAGTTCTTCATGCTATAACGACTCAGTGGATTTGAATTAATATTTTAAATTATCTTCTTTTTTAGGACTAAATAAATAAAAAAAGAGAAATACCAGGAGCAAAAGGCATGGTACACCGTCTCCCAAGGTGGGCTGCCTCCTAGTCTACCCATTGGCTTCACGCCCGGCGGGATTGCCTATGCCCCCAACACAAGGTGAGCAAACATCCGGGGAGAAGTGTGACTAAGATGCAAATACGCGAGTAGAGCAGCAAGCAAAACTAGTTTTATATATATATATTACGATCCCGTTGTTGTCTAATTGTATATCCATATATAGCTCTTATCAGCTTGTAGAATTAAAAGGCTTGTGATGAAACAATTAAATAAACCGTCTGGTTGGTGTGTGCCAAAACAAGGGATTAACTTGTTTGATACCATCGTGTTTTGATGTGCTAAGTACGTGTTAAGTAATAGGGTTGCTTTCTGCTCTATTACTGATATCTGGGAAAATATTCATCTCTGAGAAATCTATACTAAACTTTAAAATGTAACTAGGGACGAATTCAAGCGGAGCGTGTGTGAGTCACTAATACTTATATATAGAGTCTACCAAGACCAAAGTTTGGATGTTTTATGTAAAAAATTACACTTACTTCTCATTTTTTAATAATTATAAGGTGAATATTTTTAACTAGCGACTCACCTTCACTTTTGGTTCGTCCCTAGTGAAAAACAAAATTAAATCTGTCCCACGGGAACCGTACATTTTTACGGGATAAAAGATAGCTTATGTGCTATTTTAGACTATAATCTATCTCTGTGCCAAATTTCACCTAGATCCGTTCAGCCGTTCTGACTTGAAACAGTAACAAACATACATCCATTCATCCTCACAAACAACACATTTATAATATTTAGAATGGATATTGATAATACTCTCTGAGATTAACTCGAATATTTGACATTTGAACTCAAACTAGCCTTTCGGTTTTCTCGTAGGTTTATTTTGATTTTTAGTTTTAGTTTTCTCGACATTTCGAATGCTTTACAGCAACCATGGCCACAGGAGAGACTAAGGATTAAGACGTCTCAAAAGTTATTTAAATAATTATTGTCTTAAAAGTTACTTGTTTCAGTTGTGAAGGAAAACGATTTTAGAATATTACTAGCGACTCACCCTCGCTCCGCTCGGGTTCGTCCCTGGGGTGGGGTCTGGGAGGACCACCCTTATCCTTATCACTTAGGGGTATGAAAAATAGATAGTAGCCGATTCTCAGACCTACTGAATACGCATATAAAATTTGGTAAAAATCGGTAAAGCCGTTTCGGAGGAGTACGGTAACAAACATTGTGACATGGAAATTTTATATATAAGATGAAAGGTGAATTTCGTGACATTAGATGTAAGAAGTAAAATTTGAAACTACAAATATAATAATAATAAATATCTAAAATATTTAAAGTTGAAAGTCAATTTTTTACTGAGTGGCAAGTCTTCTTTTTATTCCAATGTATGAAGTGATTCTAATGGCTTATAAATATTTTGTAAAAAGATTTCGTAGCAATCGCAGAGAGTCATTAAGGAGTGAGCATGGCAAAGGCGGATGTTATTATTTAATTTACTCGATATAACCTAAAAGTCACATTTTATTTACATTGGAATATTGTAGCACTAATCACCAATTTTCACTCTTCTTCAAAAATTCTATATTCAATTAGAAATATCTTTATACCTTTTCATATTACCTAAAGAAGATATATGTATATGTAATACAATTTTCTATAAAAATAGTGGTAGCTTAGGAGACAAACGCGTTGTGTATATCTCTTAAGGTACAAAAACTATATTTATCAACAGAAAACGTACATAGGGATGTACCCAAGCAATGAAAGGGTAAGTCCCTGGTATTACATAAATCGGTAATAAGCTCTACAGCTCTACGTAAATGAGTTCATCGGATATTAGCGTTGAAAATAAATTGAAAACATACCTTTGGAAAAAGGTAAAGCAATTAAATGAAAATGTGAGGTTATATTAAAAAATAATATGTGGTAATGTGAGCTTATGAAAATCAAATTTTAGAATTGATTAATGTAATTATAATAAATATAATGTAATTATAATAAATATAGGCTTACGAAAAATCTGTGTATTTTATATACATACTTAGTATATTTTTTTTAAATATCTCTTATCTTTTAGAAGGAGAGGCAAAGCCAGATAATATTATCTAGTAAAAACTAGGTGACCCGACAGATCTTGTTCTGTCAAATCAAATGTGAAGCAGGTCCCATGAGAAAAATGGCGTTTTTACGTTTTTTCGGGCAATTTTTCCAATTTTTCTCTTCATAAGAACCTTCCTCCGACTTTAAGGAATATTTGAATAAAAAAAATTGCCGTTAAGTTGTTCTCGAGTTTTGTGCTTAGCCACATTTAGCGATTCATTTTTGGCTGTTGCTATTCGTACTTGAAATAAGGACGAATAAAAAATAATTATTCGTACTTTAGGACGAATAATAGATAAAGAAGGTGGTTCCTATTCATCCGATAATCGGATGAATAAAAAATATATTATTCGTCCGATTATTGTCGGTTTGTACGAAAAATTACCAATTTTTGTTTTCTAATGTAAAATAAGTGATTTTTAGGTGCAGGAGTTTCTTTATACAAAAAATAAATAACCTTACCCTCCCGAGCTAGAAACTTATTCTTTTAAATCCCAACGATTTTAAGTTCAACAGTTTGAAAGGTTAAAAAATAATTTTTCGTGCAAGAGTTTCTGAATACAAAAAAAAGTATAACGATTTCTAACGATTAGAAGCGGATCTTTCATACGTCTAATTTAAAATATATTAAAAAAATTGAAAATAAAAATGTAATGAAAAAGCTACACAATTTAATGTTTAATGTTATATATGAATGTGATTTTTTATTATATTTTTGAAGAAAGAAATCGATTATATTTAAAACTTAAAATTTAAGATTGTAAAATGTAGAAAGTTAACAATAAAGTTTATTACCCAAAATTACTTATTATGACTTAGAAATAGGATTTTTTGGGAACTCGCGTTCACAGCAATTTCGTAGTAATAGGAACAATTTTTGAGATTTTATTTTTCGTCAGTTTTTATATGTATTTTATATTAACTTGCCTTTTAACGCTAAAATATTACTTTATATTAAAACACTGTTACTTTTCAGTGCAAATCTGTCATAATCTAAGCTATTTTTTATTATTTGTCATTTTGTTTTAGAGGTAACCCTATAATCGAGTAGAATTAAGATTAAATCGTGTGTAAATATGACTCGATTATGATTTGACTTGGTTATATTACTGTTTTAGGATTAAGCAAATATAAAGAAGTGCTCTCAAAATGTTACTTTTATAAGAGGCTTTCTAGGTTATAAACTTTTTATATTGGTTTTTTATTTCGTTTTGCTCAAATGCTTGAAATTCAACGTGTTGTTGTTATCGCCCAAAAGACAGGCAGCGTGGGCTTACTAAATTCAATTTTATTAAACAACTAGCGGCTCACCCTCGCTTCGCTTGGGTTCGTCGCTAGGTACGTTTTAAATAGATATAAATAGTTATTAGCCAGCGTTAGCCATATACATTTAAAAAATTTTTTCAATATCTTCTTTCATAAGAACCTTCTCCTGACAATAACAAACACAACAAAACCAACAAAAACGTTAAATCGGTCCAGCCGTTCACGCGTGATGGCGTGACCAAGGGAAATAGGGATTCATTTTTATATATGTAGAAGATACATTCTTACAATAATAACAAATTGCTTATAAATTAAATCGTAGCCATTGTTTTACTGTATAAGTATAAGAATTGTTACTATATAAATAAATTTCAATTCAATTTTATTTGAATTGTTGGAAAAAAAATCAAGATATAAATGGATGTGAAAAACAAAGACAAATTTATTCTTCCCACAGGATTTTATATAAAATTGTATTAAAATTTTTATAATTTAATACAATAGAATTTTCAAAAATCCTTTCTAGAGCAGATACACTAGAAACGTAAAGCAGTTTAACTTTTTAGGCTGCGCCTGGATCATATTACGATTTTTGTATATAGTTGAAGGAAAAATGGAAGGCATAGAATATATTTTGTATGTCGAAGATTTAAATAGTATTAGAATAAGATATAATATAAACGAGATCCCGATACAAATATAGTGTTGATATTAAATGGCAAAGAGTGTCGTACGCTATCTATTTGTGAAGAGCTTAGAATTAAATCTACATAATTTATATTACACGAAGAAAGTTCAAAGTACGTAATATAAAATAAAAATGTCTGTATTAGAATATATTATGTTAAATTATTTATTATAATAGTATATTAAAATTTTACAGCGACGATTTAGTTGACAAATATTAAGTTACTTAATTTTTATAATTTAAAACGTAAAAAGTATAAGTGTAAAGCACACATTATAGTCGTTTGAGTACTGACAATATATATGTTTGTAAGATTTTTCTTATAATTTTTGTTTTTTTGTAAAATTAAAGATTTTTCATTTATTAATTAATATTTGTTGATATTTAGCCTTAAAGGGAAGATTACAATTAGATTTTTTTTTAAACTAAATAAAAAAAAGTTATAATATTTTTTTAAATACAATTTAATTTTCTATTATAATAAATAATAATTATAAACTTACCGGCAAAAGTAGAGCTTCAATACTATTGCACGCTACAACAGCAGCCACGAGGTAAATAAACGCTTTCATATCGACAAAAGAAGAATTATCTGAATATACTAAAAAGTCCAACACGTAAACTTATCACTGGTTTCCGACTTTCAAAGTTTCCACTGTACTGTGACGTCGTCTTCAAGTGAATTGTGAATGGAGAGGCTTTCCTGCTACCTTTATACGTGTGTAGCTCGCACTGCGCACTCTCAGATGCGCTTATATCCTATAATTCATATATATTCCTAACATTTTCAAGGAAAATACGTTTTTTAATCGCATATTTCATAAATTATTAATTTTACTTTTTAGTAATTTACTATCAAGACTTTGTGTCAACGCTAGATTTATATGTTATGCGTTAACTTATAACATAAAGTGTTATCAGACGCACGAGCGATCTTATCGCATTGATGTATCTAAGGTATTTACATAGTAAATATTTAAATGTCAGCTATAATTTTATAAATGGATATTATAGATGCTTTGTAAATAATTCTCACGTTTAGAAGATATTATATGCCTTCATGTATTAGTTAGTTGTATTGCAAATTGAAATTTTTGCTAATATTAAAAATTCCGAAGTGTTTTTCTTAATTATTCTTTTGCATAGTAGTTCAACAGGTCAACGTTATTTACCTATATATTGTCTTTCTTTTCGGTTTTGATCTCGCTTCTGCTTACATGGCTAGGATAGAATATAACTCATATCTGCCCTCATCGTGCACTGTATGGTACTTTTCATCGAACTGGTGTTCACCCAGAGCTCAGAATTCGAACATAAATATTTCTTTATTAATAATGCTAAAGCTCATCTACTAAAAAAAGGAAAGCGGTTGAAAAAGGAAAGTAGTATATACACTGAATCTATATATGTATATATTTACATATTATATAGATTCAGTTCAGTGGTTTGAGCATGAAAAGATAACATATTTTTAGACTGGGGCTTATCACTAACAGCAAATTCTTAGTTTCAAACATAGGTACTTATTTAAAATTGTACGATTATCTAAATCCACTTGAAATGTTCACGGAATGCTCTACATTAAGAGACCGTAATAGAAATAACTTATACAAAAAGTGAGATAATGTTAATATTACTAGTATATGTTTGAACTGCCTCGATAGTCTAGTGGTTAGCATGTTTGGCTGCAGATTTGGAGGTCCTAGGTTCAAGTCCTGGATTTAGCCAAGTTTAGTTAAAGAGTTTTTCTATTAAGAAATTCTCAGTAACAGCCCCGATTTAGAATATTGGCGATGTGACACCGCCGTGCCTTAGAGAGAACGTAAAGCTGTCGAAATGTCTTCCAAACGGAGTTTGGGAGTAACAGGAATAGAGAGTGCGTTTGTGTCTGCGCGTACACTTATGCACTATAATATCTCCTGCGCACTTGTTTAGTTTCAGTAAGATTGGCCGGAGTGGCCGGAATCGGTCAAGATCTCAATTATGTTTGTTTTAAGGGTAAAAGAAAGAGAATATAGATATCTCTTTCATAAATAACTTCTTGCCTGCTCTAGCATCTCTCAGTTATAAAATGAAGTATATAAAAACATCTAAATTGCTTACTGGTTTTACCTGTTATATTTAAAAAAATATATATCAGCCGATAAGCCTTCCTTTCACTATTTTTATTCAGTAATAGGATTACGTTATAAATCTTTGTGAGTTGAATAAGCTTTTATTGTAATCGTACAAAATATTTTTAGCGACTTACATTCGCCTCGCTGGTATACATCTATAATAACATAAAATAAACAAACATAACATATAATAAACATCTGCGTATGTTGCACTCACGCACATATTTAACACGCTTGCACACACTCATTTCTCCTCTGTTTTTCAACTTTTCTTTTTTGCTTAGAAGCTATTAACGAGTTTTAGTGCTATCAGTCCAACTTTTAGAAACATTTTTTTTGATAGGTAAATTCTATTCATATATTATATGTTTTATTTGGCGAACAGTAGTAATAAAAAGTATACAGATAAATAACATTGTAATGTAAAATAATTAGGTTGCACTAATTCATATTATAAATATAACAAATAACAAAGTGTACCTATGCAGTTTTTTTATATTTATATATATTTTTAACAAGTTGTCCACACATAGCATGTAGGTATTTTGGTTAGGTCCACATAATATCTTAAATTATTGCAATACAATAATGAAATTTATGAAAACAATTAAAATTTTTTTACATGTAATACTTTTTTTTGTATTTTATAATATTAAAATAATATTTTTCACTTTATATAACATGGCTATAAACGTAATAAAATTATGTTTTTATTGGATATCTTTAAAGAGCGCAATCGACTAAGCACTCACGCTCGCATCTACAGCGGACTTTCAATGTGTCTGGCAAGATGTAAAAACCATTAAAACTGTCCGGCTATTGAGGTAACATTTTTTTATAGGTCCCCAAGTAACATATATAAAATTTAGCTATTATACTAAAACGAAAGTATAAGAATATTTTTTTTAAGTTTAGTGGCAGGGGGTAGCAACTGTCATAAGTGTCCGGCAATGGATGACGAGATTTCTAAAGTTATCCCGAAGAAAATATAAAAAAATGAGCTTTATACTTTAAAGAATTTAAGGTGCTATTTTATATACCTTTATTACCTGTTACCTGCCCAAGTAACCACAGCCAAACTCTATAGTCGCTGGTCGTTCTTACCTGTATAGGGGACATTCTCAGAAAAATTTCAGCTTTTATAAAATAACGAAGGTCTGGCCGTCGGTGGCTCTTGGGCTATTACATAATAATACTTTATTGTCGAGTAAGAAGTAGCCCTGTGGAATAACTTACGAGTTTATATTATAAGACTTTTTAATGAACTAAAACAACAATTTACCGTTAAAACCTGAACGAAGTGTGAACATGTATTAAATTCAATAAAACTGAAGGGCATCGAAAAATTACATTCGTATCGACGCTGCTACGGTATTGAAATAAACTCATTACCCAAGCCTGAAAAGATCATACAGTCAGTCATTTCGTGAATATTACTGTAGTCATCAAATAACAAAATCAAAATTGCCCTATATTAATTTAAATTATACTAATAAATAATCAAATAGCATCAAATTGAAAGAAATCAAAGTATTCAATAAAATATTTTATTATTCTAATAGAATTTTACAAGTATTTCGAATTTGTCAGTTTTAAGATTTAAATAGAAATAACACTATTTAATGTATGGAGGAAGCTACCAATGGCTCGAATAACCGTTCTGGTGAGAACATGAGTATGAATAAGAATGAATTATTTTTTTTGGAATTTTATCGCACATTCGAAAACAGAAATAAAATAAGAACGCGATTAAATGTGAAATAATAGTTTTATTTAAAACTAGCTACTCACCATCGCTCCGATTGGGTTCTTCCCTAGTTACGTTTTAACGTTTAGTATATATGTAGATTTCTCAGAGATGGGCTATTTTCCCGCAGTAAAAAGTATCCTATATGTTGACCCGGGTAACCAGCTAAACCAGCTAACACCATATCAAATTTCATCAAAATCTGTCCAATGGTTTTCTCGTGATGCGTTTCCAGATAGACAGACAGACAAAAATCCTAAAAAGTATAGATTCGGCCTCTGTATCGATAATAATGACTATTTCAGTAAGATTTTCCAAAAAATATTTAATGTACAGATTTGGCTGTTAGAATTTTGTTATATGTATAGATATAATTTAAAATATTGTGAAGTATAGGTTTTTCAATTTTAGACTTAAAACATTTAAGTGGCAAATTGTAATTGATCGTGGAATTTTACTATCCATGCGTAGGTACATCTTGCAAAACAGTATAGGGCGTGATGTTTTTCAAAAGCATACTTTCAATATAGAATATTATTATTTGTAAAAATATTGTAATGAATTAGATCTATTTTTAAGTTTAGTAGTGGGATTTCATGGCATTCTTACAGCTTCAGATTTCACCCTTTACGCCTTCTTGGAAAATGTGTACAATAGTGTTATAAATATGAGTGTATCTATATGATATAATACACTTTATGCGTGGGCCATAAGGGTGGTAAAGTTTATAATTCAAAGAGTGTCACGTATGTTGGTACTTCTGCCAAACTATGGAATGGATCTTAAATAAACCATGAATGAAACTTGACTACGTATATATGTAAATATCTTGGATACTTAAAACCTAATTAATATACATATCCTGAAAAACACTATGAATGTTAATAATATTACATAATACCTAATGTGAAAATTATATATGTAAAAGTATCTCTACTTGACGGGTTTTTGCTTTTTTCCGATTAAGCCATTAAACAGGTTTCAATGAAATTCTTTAAAATATGAATATTGCATCATAGACACGACAAGATGATCCGAACAACTAAAATACTAATAACATATCGTATATATGTTTTTGCCTGCGTAGTATTTAATATATCACTAGTTCTTTGTAAATTAGTCTTAAGTATATGTTAGTCAGATGTATAAGCTATATTACTATAAAGTTTCATCAAAATCCGTTCAGTAGTTTCCACGTAAAAGAGTAACAAACATCCATCCTCATAAACTTTCGCGCTCATAATAATTGTAAGATTCATCTAAAACTCAATAAAATAATTACGTGGAACAAGATGTGATATGTTACCGGAGGAAGTCTTAAAGGAGTTCTCAGAGAGCTTCATAGTTTGTGTGCTAACTTACCAGATTGAACAAAGAGGCTTAAGCTTCTAAGTAGTACGTATAATCCGCGCTGTATAGGATCAAATCCTATAATTGTCCGTATTTCATTAGTTTTGGATCAGCTACTGTTCGTCGAGTAGGCCCAAGCCGATTATTAAGATGTTTGATCTACTGATTTACTATAATTAGGTAGAAAGACCTTTTCTACTAATAAGGAATTTTGTAAGTTTTAATAGGGAATGAATTTTATGTTAGTGATTTATCTATGAGTATATATGTATAATTATTCATCAACCAGCATTACTCTTACTCGTATTTTGTATTTTTTCTCAGAAATGAGATATTTTCCCGCAGTAAAAAGTTTTTT